TTGCTTCTTTCAGTGCTAAGTTTGAGTACGAGAAGGAAGTTATTAAGTTGAATAAAGTAATTCTTTGATGCAGCTGCAGATTCAAATACTGTAAACATGTCATCTAAATATTGAAAGTATATAAGAAAATCTCATAGAATTACCACATATTTGAACTTAACTGCACAAGTTACTAAGTTCATGAGATCATTTGAAAATAAATTCAGATACTGTGGCATATATAGGTTGCCGTGATCTAGTGATATAGTGCAAATGTCCATAGCTTTGAGTGATACAGTGTTAAATGAGCTAGCAATGTCAAAAGAGCACGTGAACATGTTATTGTTCTCAATATGTAGATCTTGCATAACCTTCACAAAAGTGAAGGAATCATTCTCACTATATTTGGAAAACTCATCTAAAATTGGTTGCAACCAATTTGCAACACAACCATTTGATCCTTTTATGTTAAGCATAATTACTGCAAAATCGGATTTTGAATTGTAGTCATGAAACCGACGCAATAAAACTAGGCTTTGAAAATTTACTTTGAATGAACTGCTCATCTTACAACTTAATAAAATTTTTGAACAACCAGACCTATCTTATGTAAATGAACATGCAGACATAGAAAACACGCATCACAGGAAGGGTGACCTATTATGGGGCAATAAAAATGTCAATCAAACCATGCTTGGTGCTCAGACAAATATTTATAATGAGGCCCTCTGACAACTGTATCCATAAAACAGTTATAATTAATGATCAGATATCTCTGATTCCAGCTAGTTAGTTTTCATTATGAATGCTTGGCTGAATTCCAGGAATGTTTAATTCACTCAACACAGGTCTATTGAAAAAATTATGGGGAACTGCAAGCCTTATTTGATTGACATCGTTATTATCTTGTAATTAATTATTGTTTCTTTGACGTGTTCTTTTTAATCCTATTGAGTTTATTTATGCAAAATGGACGAATGCTTTTGAAATTGATACTTTCAGTGGTCATAGTTGATTAACACTTTTGTGAGACTGTATAAGGAGCAGTTTTTCTTTTGCAGTGGATTTTTAAAATTCTCTACTGATTTGCTATTTTCAAGGCATTTCAAAGACTTGTCAAACTCTTATTGGCTGTGGACATGGTGAATTCTGGAAGAGTGGGTATGGAGGATGCTTGGAAGGCATTAAAGGGGCATGGGAGTAATGGAAAGGTATGGGTTGGAGAGGAATTGACATTATGGGAGTGATATGAAGCATTGTGGGTATTTGAGAAGGCATTGAAGATCTTAGTTAACGTTTCAGGTCTGGTGACCCTTCCTCAGAACTCCAGACCTGCTGAGCTTTTCCAACAAGTTTGTTTTTGTTCCTGATTTACAGCATCCACAGTTCTTTCGGTTTTTATTGAAGATCTTAGGCTCTTTGGGGTTTTGGGATGTAGAGGAAGATTGGGAATAGGTGGGTAGAGAGCCTACAGCATGTAGGCAACTGGAACAATGTCCATAAAATTCAATCATGCCTCCTACTTGGTTGGCCTAGGTACCGCCCATCTATATCATGGCCTCACCCTGCTTGGGGAAGCTGCAGACTGGAATTTGCCCACCCCATGTGTCACAGAGCCAAGACAACCTGTGGAATTATGAGGATGCGACAGGTTTGCAATTGCAAGATGTGGAAATGCTCTGACTCACCTCTCCCAAAGTGAAGAGGATGAGCCGGCCCCACCTCGTGGAGATTTTACTGTTGGCAGCAGCAGCATTCTGTTACAATTGGGAAGATTGATCTGGGATCCTGTATAATTATTGTCCTACTAACTGCTGGAAGTACAGGTAGATATCTACCTATTCTTTTTGAAAGATGCCAATTAGTTCAAAGATTAAACCAAGAGAAAAATGCTTAAACTTTTTTTTTTATATGGAAAGCCAACTATTTAATTCCAATAATCCCCTTTCAAAGCAGTCAACATGCTTCCTGGCCGCTGATGATTCTATTCACTAATTCATGACTGTAGCCTGTGTTCTGCAGTTCACTGTCTGCACATTGTGGGGAAGTTCTGTTCCTCTGTTGATGTTCTGACTAATACAAAAACTCAGCTTGTGAAGAATTATAGATTCCAGCAGACATGCCCACACTCCCTAAATGTTAATGTGTTGGTATGTTCTGACTTCACTGCATGTTTCTCAATTATTTGATTACCTTTCAATTTACAAAAGAGAACATTACAATTCTTAAATGATTAATAAATGCTCCCTTGTTTCAGGTACAGGGATCTCTCAACTCTAGCCTTCATTTTGAATAAACACTTAACCATCAAATAATGACAAGAATTTAAAAGTGATACTATCTTCCTTGAATGATGCAGACACAACTTGCAAATTAGCTTTTAGTAATGTTGGATTTCCCCTTTAAGGCCCTGCAGTAGCTGAATCTGTGGAACTGTGACATCTAATTTTATAATTCTTTAGCTTATGATAAGAACAAAACTCACAGGTGTAAAGCTGATCCAAGTATTTTTCTGTTAATGATATATGAGTAACCTGTATCAAGATTGTTGAGATACAGTAAATTTGACTGGCACCACCTGACTTGAAAATTTATCAGGGCTCTAGTGATTAATTGGTAGCCTGTCTTCATGGAGTCTGCTGCAAGTTCTCTGACTAACCTGAATTTGGGACAGTCCCCAACAGCAGGGCTGTCAGTGTCTCTCCCTGTTTTTCTAGACTTGCTTCTACAGGGCTAAGAATTTGCATCCTCTTGTTTAAAATTTACTCCTCAAAGGAGTAGTAAATGGCTGTAGGGGTCATGTCCAATCTACTGTCAACAGTAGATAAAAGTAGCAGGGATAAACCAAATACAGTTGTAAAAGGACTTGAATGAAGTTGATGAAAAATCAGAAAACTGTTCAACTACAGAATGGTTTTTCGAGGTTGATTCCAGGAGCACATTTGCCCTTCTTATTAAATATAAGGTTCTCTTATTGTAACGTACAATATTCTAAGGGGACTTGACCAGGTAGATGCTGACAACAAAAACAGAAATTGTTGACAAAACTTTGTGTGACGAAAGCAGAGTTGATGTTTCGAGCCCAGTGACTCTTCCTCAGAACCCTCATGCAGAAAAGTTGTTTCCCTGTCATAAAGGAATCTAGAAATAGGCAGTTTCACAGTTTCAGAATAAGGGGTCTCTCATTTCAGATAGAATTAAGGAGGAACTTCTTCCTCCAGAGGGTGCATAGAAACCATAAAGCTACAGAAAGGTTACAGCACAGAACGAGGCCATTCAGCCCAATGTGTCCATGCCAGCTGAATAAACAAGCTACCCTTTGTAATCTCACTTTCCATGACTTAGTGAAGTTTACAGTACTTCAGCTGCAGATCCAGGTTCCTTTTTAACTGTGTTGACGGTTTCTGCCTCAGCCAGCAAACTGGACGGTGAAATCCAAACACATAGCACCCTCTGGCTGAATAGGGTTTCCTCAACTCCCCTCCAATTCTTCTCATCATCTTAAATCTGTGGCCCTGGGTAACTGACATCTCCGCTAGGGAAACAGCTCCTCTCTGTTCACTTTATCTAATCCCTGCATTGTTTTCTGTGTCTCGATAAATCACCTCTTCAGCCTCCTTTACTCTAAAGAAGTCAGCTCTCGCCTATCCAAACTTTCTTCATAACTACAATTTTCCAGCCCTAGCAACATTCTTATAAATCTCCTCTGTACATTGTCGAAGGCAGTGATGTCCTTCCTATAATGTGATCACACGTGCACACAAAACACCAACTATAGCCTAACCAGTATCTTGAAAAGTTCCACCTCTGTTTTCTATTTAATACCTTGCCCACAGAAGGAAAGCATCCCTTTACCACCTTATCTACCGGGCTGCCACCTTCAGGGACCTGTGGTCATACACTCCAAGGTCTCTCACTTCAACTCCTCTCAGTATTACCCATTTATTCTGCATTCTTTAGGGAAGATTGCAAATGAGACAAAAATTGTCTGGATAGTTGATAGTAAAAAAGATGGCTACTGACTACAGGATGAATTCAGAGGTTTAGTTGAGTGGGAGGACAAGTGGCAAATTGCATTCAACCCACAGAAGTGCGAGGTAATGCACGTGGGAAGGAAATACAAAGCTAGAGAATACAGAATAAATAGGATGACATTGAGAGGGGTAGGAATCTCTCAAAAAGCATCACTGTATGTTTCAATAATATCATTGGAAGCCATTTAATACATTTGTTCAGAATGCTTCTTCCAAATATCTCCCATTACTAAAATGGCCCTTATTAATTCTCCATACTGAAGCTTTTAGTGTTGACAAAGTACAGAAGCAGTCAGCCAATGTTAAGTCTGGCACATATTTGAATGATCTTGAGACTGATACCATAAGCAGAAGCTTTGAAAAGAACTAATCAGCTTACAACATTTTTAAAGTCTATTCGTCTCAGCTGTTTACAGATTTAATGTCAGAAGCTTTTATCACTTCAAACCTCTTAATCTTGTTTAAATAAGCGGCTGTTAAAACCACAAAGTAGTAACTTAGTGCAAGTTAATAAAGAGGTCAAACAAAACACTCTTTGCAAGCTATGCTAACATTGCCTGCCAGTCATTCTTGAAATTCAGCCAGACATTCATAGAGGCCACCTAGGAACTATCCACAGAAGCAGACATCCATTTTTTTCCTTCATGGCCCATTGTAAATGCCTAACCAAACTTCCACAATTCCAGGGATGATGTGGGTAGAGGCACAATTTGAAATTCCCAAATTGCCAGGATCAGGGATCCCAGAATTAGATGCTGCCCAGAATTTTCAATGGCTTTCCTACATTCTCGGACTGCACAAAAATCCAGTTCAAAGAATGTAAAGGAAACAAAATAGCTAAAAGTGTGTATTAATCAAACATAATTGTGGCTATGGAAGTCATCTGATTGGTTGATAGTGAACACATTGATTAAAATCTATTTTACTTCAAATCAAGTACCATATTACAACAGAAAATTTTGATTTATTAATTTTTATTTCATTTTGTTTTTACAGTTCAAGAGGATGCTCAATCGAGAGCTTACTCACCTGTCTGAGATGAGCCGATCTGGTAATCAGGTCTCTGAGTTCATATCCAGTACATTTTTGGGTGAGTATTGTTCAAAGCATAATCTATTATGAATGTTCTTGAGGGGAGGTGTGAGAGCTATGGTGAATTTGCTGAGCCAGCTCATTATTAACTACACATGACATTTTCTGAGAAGAATTCTCTCAGGAAGCATCATTATATGTTTCAATAATTTCACAGGAAGCCATTTAAGAAGCTCTGTTCTGAAGTAGGGTTACCAGACCTGAAACGTTAACTCTGACCTTTTCTTCACAGATGCTGCCAGACCTGCTGGGCTTTTCCAGCAACTTCTATTTTTGTTCCTGATTTACAGCAACTGCAGTTCTTCGGTTTTTTATTAAGCCATTTAATATGTTTGTTCAGAATGCTACTTGAGAATGAATTTAGTGGCCCCAATATTTCCCTCAATTCTGCACCAATGCCTTTTGGATTTTCAATCTGAGGTATGTGGTCTGGATTGGGTGTTAGGCCAGGTGACCAGGGGAGATCCTAAAAGGATGCCTCGTTCCTGGGATAGGCTGAGGCCTCCAATGTTGTAAGCAAAGTTTAGAAATGAAGATTTAAACAGAAAACAGGGGGTGGCACAGTGACTCAATAGCTGGCACTGCTGTCTCACAGCGTCAGGGACATGGGTTCAATTCTAGTCTCAGGTGAGGGTCTGTGTGGAGTTTGCACATTCTCCCCATGTCTACATGGGTTTCCATCTGCAGTCCAAACATGTGCAGATTAGGTGGACTAGCCATAGGAAATTGCCCACAGTGTCCAGGGCTGTGCAGTCTAGGTGGATTAGCCATGAGAAATGCAGGGTAACAGGGAAAGGGTAGGCGGGTGGTGTGGGTGGGATGCTCTTTGGAGGGGCAGTGTGGACTTGATGGACTGAATTACCTGCTTCTACACTGTAGGGATTCTATGAAAACAGCTCACACACTGAAGAATGCTAATTTAGCCAGAGTTGTTTTAGTAAAATGAATATATCTTTTTGTGTGAGGTGAGCATCAAATTACAGATCTGTGCAGTCATTGAAGGATAAGCCTGTTTTAACGCATCACCAGAAGTTAGAATGACATCTCCACTCACCATCCTTTTTTTTCAATGACTGGAGAAAGCTCATGGTATTGCTGGAAGGGTTTGGGCAGTCAACTAAACATTAATGGAAAAGCATTAAAACAGATGGCCCCATTTCCCAGTTATTTCCTTAAGAAATTTGTTACATATAATAATTCAGTACTTGCATATTTGTTTTGGTAATATGCTTTGATTAAAAAAAGTTAAGCCAATTTATCAATAAAAACTAAAGATAAATATTTGTAGTTCTGTATGTTGGTTGATCGTACATTGTTTGATGAAATGGAAAATTGCAGAAAGTGGTGTCAATGGCTTAATTAAAAAATCTTGCTATTGAAAAATAACATTTAGCAGTAAGTTATGATAAGTTTATGATAAGTTTAAAAAAAAAGACTGACGTTTTGTTGCTTGAATTGGAGAGTATGTTTTTTTTTGTGTTCACTCATGGAAAGTGGGCAGCACTAGCTGGCCAGCATTTATTGCCCATCCCTAATTGCTCTTGAGAAGATGGTGGTGAGCTGCCTTATTGAACTGCTGCTGTGGGTAGACCCACTATGCCCTTTAGGAGGAAATTCCAGGATTTTGACCTAGTGACAGTAAGAGAATGGTGATATATTTTCAAGTCAGGATGGTGAGTGGCTTGGAAGGGAACTTGCAGGTGGTGGTGTTCCTATGTATGTACGGCCATATGGTTCTTCAAGATGGAAGTCATTGTGAGTTTGGAAGATGCTATCTAGAACCTAATGTAGTGCTGGTATTAAAAAAAGTCACAGCCTGCTTTTAGATGTTTTCTATTTTGCATGTTGGCCACATTGTGAATGATGGTGACAAGTGAGCTATTTAATAAAGTGAGATAAGATTTTGACTTTAGTTTGGCTGTTTTGGTCATCAATTCTCTGATCGTGACGATTGATTCTAAAACTGGCCAGCGATGATCTTTGGGGGTTTTATCTAAATTATAAATTGAAATGACAAGTTATATTGGACAGATTTTGTGTAAACAGCAAAGTCACGCTGCCAGAAAATATGGTCCTTAGTATTAATAGTGAACTACAACGTGATTCATCACTGTCCACAGCAAACTGTGTAGTTACTTCGACTGCAACTAAGCAATGGTGTAAGTCTTTAACACGAGAGATTTTCTTTCGTTATTGCCACCTTTCTACCCTGCATACAGCACACCCGTTTCTGGCTGAGAGACCTTATGGGGAATTCTATTCACCAAAATGTGTCAGAGCTGCAATGAGCCCTCCACCTGCAGTAATTGATTGGTAGTCATTCACCCAGCAATTTGTGACCTAATGGATAGCAAGCTACATTTGTACTCTATTTGTCTTCTTCTCTAATAGCCCAAACAAATATAGGAGCTTGCTGCTTAAAATGTAATTGGTCCATATCCACGAATGCATAGCACAATGAAACTCAAAATTAAGATCATTTTTTGTTTTAATGGCTGCACTAATCTAACATTTCAGCAGTTTGCATCTGTGTTTTATTTTTCATTAACAACAAATAACCCTCAGATTGTAAAGTTTTAACCGACTTGGCCCAAGCTTTAATATGAGTGCTTGTTTATCGAATCTTGGAGTCTTAGTATTTGAAATATAGAGAAATGCAGCCCCTCCATAAGGAAAGTGTGGTAAACATAAAAACAGAAAATAGAAGCAGGAGTAGGCCAGTCAGCTTATCAACTTGCCCTGCCATTCACTATGATCGTGGCAGATCATCTAACTCCGTAGTCTGTTCCTGCTTTTCCCCCATATCCTCTGGTCCCTTCAGCGTCAAGTACTATATCCAATTCCTTCTTGAAATCATTCAACATTATGGTCTTGACTACTTGCTGTTTTAGCGAATTCCACAGGCTCACCACTCTCTGGGTGAAGCAATTTCTCCTCATCACAGTGCTAAAACCCAGTATCCTTCGACTTTGAGCCCTGGATCTGGTCTCACCTGTTGTCAGGAACATTCTTACTGCATCTATCCTATCTAGTCATGTCAGTATGATATAGGTTTCTATGATAGCCATCCCTCACTCTTCTGAACTCCAGTGAAAATAGTCTTAACTCGTTCATCCTGTCTTTGTACATCAGTCTCTCCATCCCAGGAATCAGTCTGGTAAACTTTTGCTGCACTCCCTCTATAACAAGAGATAAGGAAACCAAAACTGCACACACTAATCCAGGTGTAGTCTCACTAAGGCCCTGTCTGATTAGATATTCCTGCTTCTGTATTTGAATCCTGTTGCTATGAAGGCCAGCATTCAATTTGTCTTTTTACCACTGCTGCTACTGCGTGCTTATTTTCAGTGACTGGTGTTTGAGGACACTCAGACACTCTCATTGCACATTCCCCTCTCTTGATTTGTGGCCATTCAGATAATAAACTGCCTTCCTGTTTTTGGTACCAAATAGATAACCTCACATTTGTCCACCTTATGCTGCATCTGCCAAGCAATTTGCCCACTCACTCAACTTATCCAAATCCACCCTGAAACATACCCACATCCTCCTCACCACGCACCTTACTACCAAAGAGAATGCAATCTACCAACAATTCAGTCACATTTTTGCCAAGGATTTTTGAAAATATTTTCCTTTTCTGTTTTAGTAAAGGACTTCTAGTAGTGGTATTTGCTGAATTTTGGTAAATATATAGTTAAATATGATTTTAAAACTTCAAATAATAACAAACACAAGCAATAAGGGCTATTGTTAATGTTACATTTTAATTATAAAAACAGCAAAATTTTCCTTGCGACTAAGTTAAAACCTGGAAAGGCTTATTGAAAACAGTCAGGTCCTGCTGATACCCACCGCCTGCAGGAAATCCTATGAAATTCTATGTTTCCTTAAGAAAACATAGATAGAAGTTCTCTTCCACCTTAGATCACCTGACAGTAGGACTTACTCGTCATCTTTTCAACAGGGTTAGACTTTAAGTATGTGACAGATTTGATAAGCATCAACCCTGTTGCACATAATTCAATAATCAGCTATGAGATTGCTCCAGTGACATGGATTTCTGGACCACAACCTGAGACTCCAACATTTTCAAAAATGCTTTGCATGGTTCCCTGTCTTGTAATTTCTCAATTTTCTAATAAGCTTCTTGCTGTCCCAGAGATAACATGTAACCTGTTAGTGCAAATAACAACAAAGTGCCACGGTATCATTTAGTATCTTAACATACTTTGTGCATGTTCTTTTATTATTCTTTAATGGAATGTGCATGTCACTAACTGGGCCAGCACTTCTTTGCCATCTCTAGTTATCCAGAGAGCAATAAAGCATCAACCACGTTACTGTAGATCTGGAGTTGCATGCAGACCAGATAAGAGGGACATACTTCCTTCCTTAAAGAAAATTAGTAAACAGGATGGGGTTTTACAGCAATCGTCAGTGCTTACGCCATTAGGCAAGCTTGTTATTCTACATTTTTATTGAATTAAAATTTCACTATCTGCCATTCAAACCCATGTTCCCAGAATATTAGACTGGGGTTCTGAATTACTAGTCCAGTGAGATTACCAGTACATCATCACCTTCCATTTTTTGTAATAAGATGATAATTCAGTGTAATTTCTTTCACATTATATTTCTGGGAATGAAATACGGAAATATTTAAGGAATATAAGATTTGAGGGAAGTACTCAATAAAGTGTTTCAATTGCATCTAAATGAATGAAAAGCATTGGAGATAAATACTCTAGTATTACCATTAAATTGAGGAGGGTGTGGAAGAGCAGCAATCATTCACAGCTAACTGAGGATCTGAAGATCCTGGTATTCCTCATGCAATGTCCCGTTGCAATATTGTCAGACAGTCTGGCTGACCAGTAGGATGATTAACCAGCATGAAGGTGTAGAAATAATACTGAGGATTGGAAAGGACGTGTCAATTCTAGGGTTATAAATGAAGAATAGTGGAATGGGTAATCAAAAGGCTCCAGGCGGTGGTTGTTGGATTTGTGGAAAATAGGGTGCTGTGGATTGGTAGTCTTGTTAATCATGGGTTACAATTACAACAAAAACACCCTGCCTGGATGAACAAGGTGAGGACACTAATTATTTAATTTTGGAAATTCTTTGAAATTCTCCTCCTGACAATCTGTACCAAGCCAGTTCCGCCGAACATTTTTGACTTCCTGGAAAAAAGCACTATTTGAAATATCCTGTTTTGATAAAAAAAAAAGCTGAAATAGAGTTGAATATTTAACTTATTTGAATGTCATGTCCCTGATGTGAACTTATTTACAAGGGCTACTGCCTGGTTTAAACCAACAGTTAAAGAAACATTATGCAAATACATTGTTATGACCTGTTCTTAGAACTCAGAGTAATTTTAATCAAAAAGAAAAGAAAAATGTCAGTAACAGTTCAGGTAGTCACCAGCTGATACTTGTCAACAGGCCCTACCTTCATCCCAGTTGTAATAGGATCAATAAAGCCAAAAACAGCCCTCAGGCTCCTAACACTGTCACCACCTCACCTCACCCATGTCAATTCATTCCATCTCATGCTCCCCTCCTTTCCAGCCCCCATACCTTCCATGCAAACGTATTGCCAAACTCATTCCCATAGTTCTCAATAACCCTAATGTCAGTGCAGGGCCAGCTCATGCTTCTTGTGCCCCCCACCCCCCTTCATCTACCACTATTAACCCTTGCACCTTCACCTTGCAAACTCACCAGCATCTACCATGGATAGATGTCAGGAGCCATGCTGAGTACAAATAAAGATGGAGGTATCTGTACAAATTTGGCCAACTTCAAAAATCTTCTCATTGACAAAAGCAATAAATACAAACATTTCGTTTCACTACTCAATCCTCTATACACTTTCTTTCTTTGAAGACTTAATCTCTCATTAAAAAAAACACAAATATTTGTATTCAGAGCCCCATGTCAAAGACAGTTAATCGCTTTACAATTTTCTGAGCTTTCAATCAAACTCAGAATTTACAAGTCCGCCAGTGTATCAATAATTGGCCGTGGAAGCTGTCAGGAAGCACGACTGTAATCTGAGAATGATAGCTCTCAGGCTTATGTCAGCAAATACCAATTGAAACTTCAAGCACTGTTTTCTTTTACAGTCCATGTTTACAGCTTTACAGTCCCAAAGAGATCATCTACTTTGTTTTACATATTCATATCTAGTTTTAACCATCCCAACCAGGGGTAAATGACTGCACACAAAGGGGTATTTGACCTCTGCAAAGAACTGTGGCAGGTTTACACTGTTCCATCAAATGCCTCTTGCCACACATCGTGCTTCAGAAACCTCAGTGACCAAAATTGCTTCTCTTTGAAGGCAGCTGTGCTTTTAAATGTGTTGTTGCCTCTGTGAATTATGGATGTGCAAAAATACTTTACAACTCTGTACCACTGTCCAAATAAAAATGGGGCTGAATCAGCACGACTTCCTCAAAGGGAGGTCATTCCTGACAAGTCTGTTACAATTCTTTGATGAGGTACTGAGCAGGTTAGGCAAAGGAGGGCCACTGGATGTGATCTATTCGGATTTCCAGAAGGCCATTGACAAGGTACCGCACAGAAGGTTGCTGAATAATATAAGAGCCCCATGGTGTTCACGGCAAGATATTGGCACAGATAGAGGATTGGCTGACTGGAAGAAGGCAGAGAATGGGGATAGAGGGATCTTCTTCATTATGGCAACCAGTGAATAGTGGAACTCGCAGGGGACAGTATTGAGATCGTAACTATTCATGTTATATATTAACCATCTGGATGAAGGAACTGACAGCATTGTTGCTAAGTATGAAGATGAGACAAATATAGGTGGAGTGACAGGTAATGTTGAGGAAGTGGAGAAGCTGCAGAAGGACTTGGATGATCTAGAAGAATAGGCAAAGAAATGGCAGATGGAATAGAATGTGGGCAAGTGTGAGGTTATGCACTTTGGTCAGAAGAATAGAGACACAAACTGTTTACAAAATGGGAAAAGGCTTCTGAAGCACAAAGAGACTTAGAAGGCCTGGTTCAGGATTGTCTTAAGGTTAACATATGGGTTCAGTTGTTAGGGATGTATTGCTGAGGCTGTATAAAGCTCTGGTCTGACCACATTTGGAATATTGTGAGCAGTTTTGTGTTTTTGTATGGAAGGATGTGCTGACTTTGGAGAAGGTCCACAAGCATGATCCCGAGAATGAAGGGGTTGTCGTATGAGGGTTGGTTGAGGACTCTGTGCTTGAAGAAGTTTAGAAGAACAAGGGGCGATTGCATTGAAACTTGACAGAATACTGAGAGGTCTGGATAGAGTGGACGTGGAGAAGATGTTTCCACGAGTAGGAGAGACGAGCATCCAAGGGCACAGCTTCAGCATAAAGAGCCGACCCTTTAGAACTGAGATGAGGTGGAATTTCTTCACCCAGTGGGTGGTGAATCTGTGGAACTCATTGCCGCAGAAAGCTGTGGAGGCCAAATCATGGAGTGCCTTTAAGACGGAGATAGATAGGTTCTCAATTGGTAAAGAGATCACGGGTTACGGGGAGAAGGCAGGAGAACGGGGGTGAGATACATATGAGCCCTGATCAAATGGTGGAGACAGGGTGGCCTGAGTGGCCTAATTCTGCTCCAATATCTTTCGATCTTATGGTAAGTCCTAGGCTTGGGGCCAGGACTTCCAAATTCCACGCTCTGCTACCATTTTGATTAAGGCGCAGAGCACCTTCCAACGTGTCAGAAAATTAATCCTAAATTTTTGTTTCAAGGGACAGCAAGGGCACAGATTATTGTCAGGTAAGCTCTGAACATGTAAAAAATAATGACAGAATTAGTTGAGCTTATAGTGTTGACTCGTTTCCTGTATTCTACACCCGGAGGTTTTATGAGTGTTCTCCTGATAGTCTGCTGATGGATTATCGGCTGAAGCCTAAAGAAAGGCTGATTAAATGTTTTCTCTTGTGAGACTGCTGGTTGTTCACTGATGTTTATGGCACTTATTTGGGAAAATCCCCATGAACGAGTTTTTCTGCTCTGTGTTCTTGTTGGAACCATTCAGCCACAATATTCTAATAGGGTTACTGTTCTTTTCCAGACAAGCAGCATGAGGTTGAAATGCCATCACAAGCACAGAAAGAAGAAAAGAAAAAGAGGCCAATGTCACAAATCAGTGGAGTGAAGAAACTCATGCACAGCTCAAGCTTAACAAATTCCAGCATTACAAGATTTGGAGTCAAAACTGATCAGGAAGACCTCTTGGCAAAGGTGTGCTTACTTCAGACCCTGGATTTCAGCAATATAATCCTTTGATAAATGAAAGGGAACCTTCGACTTTGCAGCACAAAATCTTTATCGATTTGGCATAGAATTTGATCAACATATTTTTCAGTCATTTGGATCAGATAAATATGTTGCTGAAATTAGAAAAGATAATGATTTGGGAAAAAAATGCCTTTTTACTAATATTACAGTTAAGATGCTAAAAATGATTGTATTTTCAATTAACATAATGGCTAATGAAAGTATTTTTAACCTCTGAGAAAACACACCATACTTAAGCTTAAAATTTAAAGATAATGCATTTTGTAAAATGTTTGTTCTTACTGACATCCTTCATGTTTAATGTCTGTTCAATTAATAGGAATTAGAAGAAATAAACAAATGGGGCCTTAATGTCTTTAAAGTTGCTGAATATTCTGGAAATAGACCTTTAACAGTTGTCATGTACACAATTTTTCAGGTGAGTTTTGAACGTGTTCATGCTTGACCATTTGAAGTTTCTGTATTTTGTGAAACAGTATGAATCTATTGGAGAATTCTTATTCCAAACAACAAACTGTATTATGGTGTCTAAAATTATGGTCACTAATCAATTGCACTCTACATTGTTCGAGCACAGTTGAGATTGATCAGATCTAACCAAAGACACCCTGACATTGTAGCATGCAATATATTACCAACTTATCACCGTCTTCACCAGATCAGCACCATTGGAAAGTTCACTGCTGGACCATTAGCCCAGATAGCGAGCCTTTGAGCACTCTAAAAGATCTGAAAAATGAGCTTTTGCCTCAAGATAGCTGAAACTAATTGAATAGCAGCCTGCACCTGAATGGTGAATTAAGGACAACCACCAACTGAAAGCAGCAGTAGACAGTTTTATCATTCAGCTTGGACTGTTGGTTTTCAGTTTTCCAATGCTGTATGGACAGGTATATGTCAATAAATTCACACAGGCTATGGAAATTTTATTTTAAATGCCAATTTCTATTCTTTAACTCCACTGGAATAACACAAAATCTGAGTGTAATTTGATGAACTGAGGACTTGAACAGCCTCCTTTTTATTTACGCTTTGTAATGACTCAACCTTGAACACACCTGTGAGATTTCATATTTAATGCTAAAATTTACTGGTGATTACAGTTAAATCAAGACAAGAGAGGGGTGCCCTTTCTCAGATCTTTTGTTGTAATAAAATTGAAACTTGACATTCCAAAGTAATGCTTTCATTCACACTTGGCAACTTTTTCATATGTATTCATGTTAATTGATTCTTTGTTGTGAGAAGGTATGTTTTTATGCTGTAGGCACCTGGTTTATTGTATTATGTGTCCTAAATAATTTCTTCTATGTATTCCCTGAATTAGTCAGTGCCTTCTGAGGGTTCCATTTTTCATTTACTTGGATAGTTACTGCGGAGGTGATGGCCTATTATCGCTGGACTACTAATCCAGAGACCCAGATAACGTTGTGAGAAACCTGGGTTTGAATCCCGCCATAGCAGATGATGGAATTTAAATCAATAAACAAAATCTGGAATTAAGAATCTAATGATGACCATGAATCCATTGTTGATTGTTGGGAAAAACCCATCTGGTTCATTAATGTCCTTTAGGGAAGGAAACTGCCATCTTTACCTGGTCTGACTCCAGACCCACAGCAATGTGGTTGACTCTTAACTGCCCTCTGGGCAATTAAGGATGGACAGTGAATGCTATCTGGCCAGAGACGCTCTCATCCCGTGAGTGAATAAAAAAAAATAGTTACTGAGGAAAAGTTAGGAGTTGTAACTTTCCCAATTCCCAAATAACTATAGAGCTACTCCCACTCTCAGACTCCGTACTTCCCTAACACTACCCCTCTTGACTTACCCGAGCAGACCTGACCCAACACCACTCCTGCCTGATCTGACTCAAGCCCCCAGCAACCTTGCCTTCCCGCAATTAACCCACTGCCACCCCGTCAACCCCAACCTTGCCCCATAGTTTGTCGAAGTGTCTTTGAGGCCTTTTCACCCCAGGTATGACAGTTAGTTCTGTAAAAAGGTGGCATAGCTTGGCTTCCAAAGATGCTCCTGAACTACTGTGGCATACTCCCAGAACAAATATACTCCACATTTCTCAAGAAGCCTGGTTCAGAAGTCCAGGCCAAGGAGCAGATTGACAATCCAACGAAGATGGCCATTCCTCAGAAAATTCGGCCTAAAGACATCTTTAATATGTGTGAAATTCATATTAAAGAAGCAATGATTGCTTTTCCGAATGAAAACAAAAACTTATCTCAGTGGCCCGGGAGCACAACTGGTTGGTGTTCGAACCAGCTACAACCAAGAAGCATTGAACAGATCTAACTTCTTACATAGTCAGAGATGTGGGTATTTGTGTTTGGATTGAGCAGTCAGTGACCTACTGGGACCCACTGCTTTTCTTACCACCTTATCACCATGTTATCTGGACAGGAGTTACAGGAGTAGGTCTTTAACAGTCTAATTGGCATGGAATTATACATGACCAAACAGACTTAAAGCTAAGGGATGAGGGAGGGTAAGAAAGCCAAAACAAGGAAAAAGAACTAACTTATTTTCTGTTACAGATTTTGTTAATTTCAGTGGCCTAATCTGAATTCATTTTCACTACTTGTAGGAGCGAGAATTATTAAAAACTTTCAAGATTCCACCAGATACTTTAATTACTTACTTGATGACACTGGAAGACCATTATCATGTCGATGTGGCTTTCCATAATAACATTCATGCTGCAGATGTTGCTCAGTCTACTCATGTTTTACTGTCAACGCCCGCATTAGAGGTAAGCAGGAATGCTTTTCAGTTTCCCAGATAACCTAGCAACTGTAAGCAAAGGCTTTTACAAAGAAATTTAACTGATATTGTTAAGCTTAGCTTGCACCTCATTATTATGGAAAATAAAAATAGATGATGACTTCTGTACTAAAATTGAATCAAATTCAATTTCATGCATAAAATTATATGATTCCCCTTTTCTTAGCAACCAGACCATTTATTTTGCTTAGTTAATTTATTCTCATGTTGAAAATTGACCCTCACATTTTGAAATATGTGATTTATAGGCTCATTCAGGATAATTTTATTTTAGGATACTTCAGTAAATAGAAGGCTCTGAAGAAGGGTCACTGGTCTCACTATGCCTTAACTCTGCTTTCTGTCCAGCAGTTTCTGTTTTTGCTTCAGATTTCCAGCATCTTTATTTTACTTTAATATCAGGGTACTTCCCTGTTAGATACATGTCTGATTTGCTTTCCATGACTTTATTGTATAATGGATAGCATATTAATCCTTTCTAACTGATTAAAGATTTAATAGCCATCTTAGGTTTCTTCAACACCACATCAGTTCTATGACCCTTTGATCTTTTGCTTATAAATTCTGTGTCCGATGCCATCACTTTCACTGACATTTGAAGGAGCGAGACTCTGAAAGCTTGTGTCTTCAAATTAATCTATTGGATTATAACATGGTGTTGTGATTTTTGACCTTGTCACACATACATCCAACAGCTCACTGAAAGGTTACATGAGATCACTCTAAGTTGAAACAAACTTGTGACTGCTTTTTAAACTTCTGAAAA